AATGGTCAGTCTGGATGTGGGAACAAGTTTGTCGAGCACTGGAGTAATGAGCGTATTGTTCTGAGTTTTCGTTCTCTTACAATGGCCTATTTTGCGAGATAAGTAACAGCAAAAAGGGGCAATCGTAGTAGGTTTACGTCAGTCAACTGTCGGAGGTAAGAATACGCAACCAGAAAGGAGGAGTGGGCAATTGTAAGAGTTATAATATCATCAACTGTCAGGACATTAAACCCTGTTGCTAACTTCCTGTAAACCTATCCAACTGATTGGCATAGTACCCTCTTTTTGTTGCTATTTTTTATCACAAAAGATGGAGCATGTGTGGATTATGTGTGGAAATAAATAAAATAAACACTTCCTTAGATTCAGGGAAATCAATCACAAAGCTCAAACCAAATGAATGAAAACGTTCGCGTTGCAGGTATTTGAATGGACAAGAAAACAGACTTGTCGAGTGAGTGGACGACGGCCGGTGCAACAGCAACCCGAAGTTTGGAGGGTCATTCCCTACGTAAAAGAAGTTTCCGAAACACTATCACGGGTGTTGCAACCCGCTGAAGTAGACATAACGCATCTATCCCAGACTAAAATACGTCGCCGTATGATACAGAGTAAAGACAGACAACTGAAACATCTGCAATTGTCTACAAAATATGTTGCCACGAAGGAGACTGCAATTGTGTTGGAGAAACAGGCCAAACATTGCAGATCCGCCTACATGAACAAAAACTAGCGGCTCGGAGATTAGACCCAAACTCGCATATAGTAGAACAATTCGGAGAGATTGGCCGTGACTTCCATATTCACGGAGATACCATGGTAGGCCGGTGAACTTTATAAGCCGAAAGGCTGATTCTTGGTGCCTGCTACACAGATGCCATTTCCGTCAACAGGTATCTAGGCCTGCCCACGGCCTACAAAGTCTTATGCAAAAAACAAACGCGAGAATTGCAATCGAAGCGGACGCCATGACGAGCCAACAGGATTACCAGAACCCTCTATCGTGGGGACAAGGCGCTGCACTAATTAGTTTTTATGACCCCGAACGAGCCCCGACTCCACTGACAGTTAATTAGCCTATACCACTAAAATTACTCCCCCAATCCTCTTTGGTTGCTGTTTCTTACCCTTTGACAATCTGATGGCCACTGACAGTTGATTGGCCTATGGGCAAAAGTAGCTGTTGTTAAATAATACTACAAATTAGTAAAAATCTACAGATGTAAGTCAACAACACTTCTAAATACAGTAAAATAAAAATGCATTTAGCATTTA